TATATTTATATTTATATTTATATTTATATTTATATTTATATTTATATTTATATTTATATTTATATTTATATTTATATTTATATTTATATTTATATTTATATTTATATTTATATTTATATTTATATTTATATTTATATTTATATTTATATTTATATTTATATTTATATTTATATTTGTATTTATATTTGTATTTGTATTTATATTTATATTTATATTTGTATTTATATTTATATTTATATTTATATTTATATTTATATTTATATTTATATTTATATTTATATATATATATATATATATATATTTGTATTTATATTTGTATTTATATTTATATTTATATTTATATTTATATTTATATTTATATTTATATTTATATTTATATTTATATTTATATTTATATTTATATTTATATTTATATTTATATTTATATTTATATTTATATTTATATTTATATTTATATTTATATTTATATTTATATTTATATTTATATTTATATTTATATTTATATTTATATTTATATTTATATTTATATTTATATTTATATTTATATCTATATTCATATTTATATTCATACCCATTTTATACTCATGTTTAGATTTGTTTTTATATGTATGTTTATCTTTATGCTTGTACTCATGTTTACAGACTTATAGTTATGTATATATTTATGTTTGTATTTATGTTTACATTTAAGATTACATTTACATTTACAAATCTATTTATATTTAATAAATGTATTTTAACATTCAAAAGTAAAGTCATTTTCTGGAAGCTTGCCTCCCTAGCTTCCCGATAACAATTGCTAGAGAAAATGTAAAGGGCGTTAGAAGTAGTGAAGTATTTTTCAACTATCACTTAATCACTTCAATATTTGTTTCAATATTTGTTTCTGCTTCTTGGATGAATAGAGACAACTTTAAGAAGTACATCCAAGCACTCTCAAATACTACTATGATTTCAGACCTCACATTTATAAAAAATACAGATTTGGTATTATAGCTTTTGATTGTGTTCATTTTGAAACTTGTAATTTTATTCACTCGCAAATCTGGTTCGATAACCAATAAACTTGTCCATATCAAGTACCTTTTCGCCCGAAAGGACACATTCTTATGAAAATTTGACATTGATGACATCTTTTTTGTACACTTTTGTCAAACGATAACTTTCTAGATCACTGAGTACGGGTAGGTCACTGGATGGTGGATCACTGAGAAGCAAGTCGTAAATCATGGGACAATGGGTCATTAGCAGTAGGTCACTGTGCATGGCGGCGGAGCTGCCTAAGTGGTTGATCATAATCATTAGATAGTAATGACTTTGATTTAAAGGCATAAAAGTCATTACAGTTTCATTTTCGGAAACTGAAAAAAGTACTCCATATTGTTTTTTATATTCTCTTAGTAGAGTTTTATCCTAAATACGAGTAAATTGTTGCTTAAATTTCTAAATATGAGTACATATATTTTTATTACGTACTTATTTCAAAGTTACATAAATAATTGATCATAATTCTCTTGCATAACCAGTGTAAATTGTCGGTGTTGGCGTTGTACCGCCAAATTATATCCGACAACCAGCTATACCTTAAACATGGTACAACCAGTTTTTTTTGTAATATTTTAGAACTTTAAGCTTGTTTATAAAATCCTTCTCATCCCTCAGTATTTTAGAACTTTAAGCTTGTTTATAAAATCCTTCTCATCCCTAGGGTACACGCTAACTACTTAAGATCTTTCTTGGTGGTTTTTTTTAAAACAACCTTAACATTAATTTTAGTTTATGAAAATCTGAAATATAAAATATCCTTATGATATAACGTCCCAACTTCCTTCTTTTTGTATTTTATTTTTATTTTTCTAATCAACCTTCCTTCATTATTATATTTCTCACTGTTATATATAATGATAGTTTAGTGAATTGTTAATAATGAATCTATTACATGCGTACATTATAGAAATTAGCTCTTGTCTGTTTTGATATTCATTTTGTAAATTGTGTATACCCATTTAGTATTGGTATTATGCTAATTTTAAAATGTCATATCAACGACGATGAACTCACGCAAACAGTTTGGAGCTTGCTCACACAATCTCAATGCTCAATACTACAAAACACGATACGCATTGAAAATGTCTTAATACTCAACTAGTAGAGTTTACGATTTTTTCATATCAATGCATATTTCAAAGTATCATTCTACATTAGATTCGTGTAGGAGTTGATTATAGATACAAGAGCACAAATCATGATACTCAATTGCATGCGTCTAATTATCAATAGAGGAGGTTTGATGCTCAATGAAATGTATAGGTGCTCAACTAAAAAAATATGATTTTTATATCAATACTCGTTTTGTAAGTTACGTATACTCAATTGATACTCATGTTATGTTCTTTTTTTAAATGTCATATCAATTGATATATCAAAAGTATTATACTCCGTATTACATTAGATTTGCATATTGAAATCCATAAGAGTTGATTATAGATATAATTTAATAAGTTTTATAATAGACAAAACAAGAAAAAGAAAATGCATCTGAAAATACTCCCCCCGATTCTGAAAGATCTTTACACTTTCCATTTTTGGTAGTACCAGAAAGATCTCTACACTTCTTATTTGCCTTACAAATCTACACCAAACAATGCCAAACAGTGTCAAACAGTGCCAAACAGTGTAAAACTCCTTAATATTTGTGAAGTCAAAGTGTAAAGATTTTCAGATCCGGAGGGAGTATGAAACACGGATCATGATATTAGTTGCTAGACCTTTAATGCTCAACTAGGACAAATTATACCGTATGACCAGTATACAGTGAGCACCGTATACCGGTATACGGATTTCTTTTTTTTTCCTTTTGTTTTTAAAAAATGCTAATAACTTTTTTATTTTTTATCCGATTTTTATAAAATTTATATCAACATTTTTTATTTTTCATGATCTTTCAAATGATACCAATATTGCTTATGTAATTTTAAGAAATTATCGAACTATTATATTAATGAGTATTGGATTATAAGGAAAATCGAACTAAATTTAATACAGAAAAATAATTGTGTAAATCACAATTTATCTTAAAATTGTGTATATAAAAAATTTATTTTATTATGTATTTATTCATGTGAGTTACACATTTTTATACGTAAAGTTACATATTTGTACACGTAAAGTTACATATTTATACACACGAGTTGCATTTGGCCTACCTGAACGCGAGTTACATATTTTTACATGTAAAGTTACATATTTTTACACGTAAAATTTCATATTTATACACGTGAGTTACATATTTTTACACGTAAAGTTACATATTTTTACACGTAAAGTTACATATTTATACACGCGAGTTACATATTTATACACACGAGTTGTATTTGACCTGTTTGAACGCGAGTTACATATTTTTACACGTAAAGTTACATATTTATACACGTGAGTTACATATTTATACACACGAGTTGTATTTGACCCGTCTGAACGCGAGTTACATATTTTTACACGTAAAGTTACATATTTTTACACGTAGAATTACATATTTATACACACGACTACACGAGTTGCATTTGGCCTGACTAGACGTGAGTTACATATTTCTACACATAAAATTACACATTTTACATAGGTTAATATAATAGTTCGATAATATGTTAACATTACATAGGCAATATTGGTCTTATTTGAAAGATCATGAAAAATAAAAAATGTTGATATAAATTTTATAAAAATCAGATCAAAAATAAAAAAGTTATTACCATTTTTTAAAAAAGAAAAAAATAATATCTAATGGGTGCATGGTGCTCACCATGTACAGGTTGCACGGTATACGCCGTACGCACTCCTCACAACTAGGGGTGGACCGCAAATTATATCGTACACCCGGATGTGCGGTCCTCACCGTACATCCGGGTATTTTTGGAATTAAACTCGTTGGGCGGGCTGCACACCATCACCGACTTCAGGAGCGATGGAGATTGGTGATTGGTAGGCTGAACTCCGACCTCCTTGCCGTTTGCTGCTGCTACCAATCAGTTTGCTTATCTGTAGAAGATATCTTCGTTGAAGACAAAATCATCACAGAACCCACCCTACGGATAATCCTCTGCAATCTGTCAGAAACTATGGGGGTGTTTGGATCTGATTCTTAAAACTGCTTCTGCTCCTTCAGGGAACAGAAGCAGAAGTTGGGGTGTTTGGGTGAAAGTACAGAAGTGATTCTGGTGCTCTAATTTACTCCTAGAATCAGTTTTTTTAGAAGCTGGGGGTGACCAGCTTCTGAAAACTGATTCTGATTCTGCTTCTGCTTTTAAAAAAGAAGCAGAATCAGAATTAGTTCCAAACAGCCCCTATATTTTCAACCACAAAGTGCTACCTCTCATCCATCATCCACATACTTATTTTCCACATACTTATATTCAAGAGTTTCAATTAAACCACAAAGTGCTACCTCTCATCCATCATCCACATACTTATATTCAAGAGTTTCACATTAAACATAAATTTTATGTTAAATTCAAATGAGTATAACGTCCAAAATGAATGAGCACACAAAACTGCGTTTTTAAATTTTTTGATACTCATTTCGTAAGTTATGTATGCTCATTTGGTACTAATGTTATGCTCATTTTTGAATTGTTATATGAATGCATATTTCAAAAGTATCATATTACATTAGACTCGCATATTCAAATTAATAGGAGTATATTATAGATATATAATAAGTTTTTATAAAAGAAAAAATAAGAAAAAAAGAATTAGAAGATACTGTATGAAGCAGGGATCGTGATATCATTGTTAGTCTCTTAAATACTCAATAAAATATGTCTGATGCTCATTAAAAGTACAATATTGCTCATTTAGTGGAAGCCGTAATTTTTTGCTTAAATTACAAAAATGACACCGAATTATTTTTGGTCTGTATTGGTTATTGGGCTGTTTATCTTGGTTGGATGTACCATATAGGCACTGAGGGGTGGACCAGCTTTGGGGTTATTTTTCACTTTTGTCATTTTTTTTTTTGAGAATTATCCCTTTTATTAATATTTTGACAAAACCCCTTATCTTATGTGCGACTGAACTGCAATTACAATATCAAAGCAATTTCTCGTCCGATGAAAATGTGCGGCGGAACATTGCCCGGCCATTCACCCGCCGCCATCGTTCCCAGCACTATTTTTTGCCGCTTCAGAAAATTCAGATGCTACGCTTCTTCCGGTACGGAAAATTTCTCAGTTTCTGCTATAGAACAGCATGGTACTTTTACTTCATTTCCTTTTCAGTTCTAACATATGCATCAAGCTGTGTATTTTCGTGTGTACAAAGGCATTCCCAACTTTTTTCTTGTTACAATGAAATTGTCTACATTGTAGGGTGCTTGGCTAATCTCTTATGACCATTTGTCCTAAAAAATGTTATTTTAAGTAAAGTAACTCATATTAAGGCTTAAGTGCTGGTTTGAGATTATAATGGGGAAGGGATCACATTATAAATTTACATTTGAAAAGTTTTTTTTAAAATTGCTGTAAGGAAGTGATCTTAGGAGTTAGGGGTTATGATAATTGTTTGGTTTTGTGTTTAAACAGTACTACGCTAAACTTTGTTGTGGTGCCTCTTAATTGAGAAGTTTTAAGAGAGCTCTAGATTACTTTGGAAATGTTGATCATTCTGTAGATGTATGTAGATGAGTATTGCGTATTGTAGAATTATATGGAGCTTTCCAATGAAGTGAAAAATTTTGCAGAAGCATGCGAAAAAGTGTAGAATATTCTAAAACCCTTGGAGCGCTCGAGAAAAGTGTAGAATACTTTGGACTGTGTGGAAGCGTCTAAAGCATTTTAAAAAATATGGAGGCCAGAAGATTATAGAAGATTGTGAAAGCTTCTCGGAAAACTCTAGAAGTGTAGTAGGATTATAGAATACTCTATGAAAGCTAGTTTTTTAACTATAAAGATTAGAATAATTAGGGGTGAAACTCCTCATTCCTAAGGAGGGTTCTTACAAGAGTGATAGTGGAAGCTTTTTTGAATAGTGAGCCTCTTTGAGAGAGTGATAGCATTCCTGTGAGGGAAAGAACTAAAGAACGTCTACTTGGGGGTGTTAGTGAGGTAGTCCACTAGTCCCATTTAGGCATTTATAAATTGCGAAGTGAACTACTCATATACATGCAAAATCTCTCTTGTACATTTTGTTGTATTATACTACATACAAATTTATATTATCACATGAGTCTTTGTGTTATGAGTGTGTGAGTGAGTGTGTAAGAGTTTTACGAGTTTGTGATTCTTAAGGCCGGGTTTTATTTCCCCAATAAACATAAATTTCTAAAAAGAATACTACGTATATTTTAACCTCAAATGCAATTGGCAACATAAAAGTCATAAGGAACTAGCCTCTGAAAAACAAGAGTCATCATTGCTACTTTTGGCCATTGAAATAAGCTTTTGGGCAAAACCATAAAATGTTTGGGATTGCATTGGGCTAAAAGGAGCTTTCCGGTCGTAAACCCAATCCCAGATGGGGAGCTAAGTATTTGAAAGAGTATTACAGCATCATGATAAAGCTAAATTATCAAAGCATTCCTAAATGCTAAATAAAGAAGCTGCAATATTACTTAATGAATTCTATCTTGATGGTTTGGATTTTGTGTATATTTTTTTACTAAGCTTACCGTTTTCGTTTTCGACCATTATTCTCAAGATACATTTTCAAAAAATAACAGCCCCTTCAGTATGTGTAAATTTACTTGTTATGACTAAAGGCATCGATTTGCTGAAATTGAGGATGAGATCTGATTTAGCTGAACTCATTGAAAATGCTAATGTGTTGAAAAAAATAATTTAAATTACATTGTTCAAGTTAATTGAAGAAATCAATTTTTTAAATTAGAGTAGAAATCTAAATTCATTCATTGCAACAACGTAATGAAAACAGGTTACCTTCTGCTTTACTTCTTTCTTCATCAATGAATAAGAAACCACACCACACTCAAATAAGTGTGTGTGTACTGTGTAGTAACAACTCTTACTGATAAGACTGATATCTGATAAGCAAAAATAAAGAAAGCCAACCAAACAAGCTCTAATGTTTAAACACTTTCGAATAAACATGTTATTAAACATCTTTCTAAACACTCAAATCAAAATACTTTTTGTGTTAATCATGCTATACCTATGACTTTTTAATATGCCTGTTACGGATCAATATTTATCAAGTCTTCAATAGCATGTTTGCTCACATTCATACCAGCTTACTAATACTCCCTCCGGATCTTTTTAAACTTCACACTTTCCTTTTTGGGATGGTCCAAAATAAACTTCACACTTCCTTATTTCCTTATTTGGCAAAGAAATCTACATCAAAACAGTGCTAAACAGTGCTAAACAGTGCGAAACAATGTCTCAACAGTGCGAAACAGTGTCTCAACAGTCAACAGTGCCAAACAGTGTCTCAACAGTGTACTCTACAGTAAAGTCAAATTTATTTTCTTAATCAATGTGAAGTCAAACTGTGAAGTTTAATAAGATCCGGAGGGAGTACTACATCACTACCATATGTTACTTTACAAGAACTAGAGCGTGCCTTATTTAGGGAGTGTCATATTTGAGCTTCTTATTATTGAACTGTGGTGATGGTCATTAGTGATGGGATGGCCACGAGAACTCCAGTTTCCCGTGTGACTGAAAATTGGAGGGGATTAAAGAGAATAATGAGATTTAGGGGTAAAGGTGAAAATGTGAACTGACATATTTTGCAGGCATAAAATGAGAGGCAATATTGTGTGCATGCTGTATAGAAAACGAAAAGAATGCCTACTGAGTAATTCATCGGAAGTTCATTACTTCATTTGTCTACCAAATAGTAAATACTTAATATGGGTAGGGTATTAACTATTAAGTACACATTTCCATCTGCAATTTTGCTTTTTCTACTTCACCTGTTTTGAAACACCCTAATTGCCTGTTCAGATGACGTAAATATGTCCATAGAGAGTAGACTATAAGTCGTTGGAGCTAATTACTTGGGTCATCATAATTAGGTGGACATAAATAAGCAAAACGTCGGCCTGACTCAAGATGACGGGCTAGCTCATATATATAAATATATAAAATGATCACTATCTTGATTTTCACAAACATTAAGTGGTTGTTTGGTGGCCTAGCTCGGTCAGTTGCTTTTTACCTCACACTAATTTCTTGACTCGTGTACTGAATTGGTTAACTAAGTAAATTAGGAAAGTGTGGTCTTCTATGGAAAAAGAAACAAGTCAAACAACAAATCCATGTATACGTGTTCTAATTTAGATGTGGCAATGCTTTTGTGACATGTAGATGCTCAATTAATTTCTTTTTGACCTGGAATGCAGATCATGTATCTTTCATCAAAGATGTAGCGGCAACTCAACCTCCAAACAATTTGAATGGTCTGCTGAACATGCTTCAAATGCGAGGTAAGGCAGCGGTAAAGACCTTAGCTATTTCATTCGATTATGAAATAGGACACTGCTTAGGACCTTTTAGATCAGCCATTCATGTACTATGTCAATATTCTCACCAATGTAATGCCTGATTAACAGGCGAGCAGTTAGTTTCTCCTGGTAGTAAGAAAGGATTGGTTCCTCTTGTTATTCCTCTATCCAAACAGAGCTCAGGTTTGGTACACCCGCCTTCTAAAAACTGAGCCTTTGATATTCATATTTATGTTAATCATTTTTGTTTCCTTCAGGTGCTGTAACTGCATTACTGCGATGGCCTACTGCTCCACCTGGGTAGTACACAAAACCGATGAAAACTTATGTATTGTGCTTTGATTTCTCACTTTTATTGAACTTTTCCACTTTTGGTCCCACGTTTTAGGTCGTTCTCACATTTGGTCAACGGCTTTCATGTTTTTCACTTTTGGTGCAAAGTTATAGATGCCTTGCAACTTTTGGCCTTCCATATCACTTCGTCGGCCAATTTCTAGGTGATTTTCGTCAGATATTTGACTGAAAGGACAACATCGTTGAGATAACAATTTTCTTGCACTAAAAGTGAGAAAAGTGAACTTACAGGACTAAAAGTGGGAATGATCTACAGATGCGGAGCTAAAGTGTAAAATTATCTTCTCTTTTATTATTCCGATGTTCACAGGATGGAGATGCCAGTGGTGGAGGTTTCGAAGTATGGGGTTTGGCTTTTAGCTAAGAATGTAAGACAATTGAAATACACAATATGCCAACAAGACTTTACGTGAAGGGCTTTTTCTGCAAGGATTGAAGCGTGTTTTTACTTGATATTTCATCCAAGGACAGGTAGATCAATATATCCACAGAATCTTGGTGGAAGAAGATGCATGTTTTCATGATAACAGTGATGCCTTTTTTCACGCTTCTGCTGGTGCCGGAGAGAAACTTTATCAAAAGGGCGATTTCGCTGCATCTCAAATTCCAAGCATAGATATGTACCTTTGGAAGAAGGTGCAGTTGAACACTATAATTCATACTGCCTCCTTTATGTCTCCAGCACATTCTGATTTTAAAATAACATGTTTTATAGGTTGGGTTATTTCCGGATGTAATAGAGCGCAAAATTAAGCAGCATTTTGATAAGGGGGATAATGTAAGAAAATAATAGTTCACACACTTACAGTGCAATAAAGATTTGATTATGACATCGTTGGTAATGTATGCATGTGATAGAAGATTTCAGCTATGGTGACCGGTGAGTTCTATACAAGGAAAGAGCATTTTCCTGGGTTTGGCAGGCCTTTTGTTTTTAATGCAGAGATTTTGTTAAAGTCAGTACATCTCAGCACTGCTTTGGCTAAAGATTTTCTTTATTAACAGTTTCCATCATTGTAGTATATCAGTATATGAACTCCTCTGTTTCAAGTGTAGGGTTGGGCGTAGTGTGGAAGCAAAAGACGCTGCTAGGGGTGCTTTAAAATTACCATGGTGGACTTTGGGGTGTGAATACAAGGTTCCTGACAATATTAATCTTTTCAACATGTTGTATGCTCTGAATTTTGATGCCTCTCCCACTTCAACAACAAGAACATCCAAGCCTTATTCCTAAAGATTTTGTTTAAATTTGTATGTAGAAAGTGGCAAATATGGCTGAATGGGAAGATGAACAAATTGAATATGTCAAAGAGAAAGTGACTGAAGAGGGTAGAGAGCAAGATCTAAAGAAAGGAAAAGATGCTGCTCAGGTTGATAACCTTTCCAAAAGTTTTTTCTTTTGCTACTGTCATTTTTACTCGAGAAAGAGAAGGTCTGACCCTTGCAGTATGTATGGATTAGGAATGGGGGGGGGGGGGGGGGGGGGGTAAATTTAACTCCAAAAATCGGAGAGGTGGGGTTACAAATATTCAATAAAGAGAATATGTAAGGTAAGAAGGGAACAATAAAATTCATTCCAATACTTCTTATCACACATCTGGATTTTTTAAGCTTGAACTTCAAACATGGGGTTCATACAACTATACCGTATATAACTAACTATGCATACAAGATACCATAGTGAGGTTAGATAGACGTTTTGTGAAAGTTGATATAAAGATAAGAGGATCACCAAGGGTTCTTCTGAAAGTGTGCGTAGTTTGTTTCCACTCGGAACCAAACTTTGACGGCTTGCGAAAGTTGACTTGGCATGACTTCCTATTGTTAATTTCACAAAAGAGTACAGTCATCTTGCTTCTTTATTTTGTGTAGGGGTGTGGTCACTTAAGAGAGATCGTTTTTTTAAGAAATGCAAAATTTTCACTTTCCATTCACTTTGGTTGCAGTGGAAAAGAAAACCACTTAATTACAAAATGCCACTGAGTTTCTCCACTTTTTCACCATTTTTGGCACTTTTAGAGTCATTAGATTTCAAATCTAATGCACTACTTTCATTCTCATTTCTGAAATGAAGGCATCATTTTGAATGATCCAAATTGTAGATTGCACTGGATGAAGCTGCATTCGTGCTGGATTTAGCTTCTGTGGAAGGGAATTGGGATGATTGGCTCGAACAGATTGCTAAATGTTACAAGGAGGCTGGGCTTCATGAAATTGCCAATTTTGTAGTTTACCGCGAATGAAATTTTGTACTACGTAGTTCACAGGAACAGTGTCATTTTTAAGCGGAAAACGACCTACTTTTCTTATTGTTTCGTTGAACGTGTCCTCCGCTGGTATTTTATTTTTGTAGGACATTGCTATTTGTATATCGCCTGCATAGTCAACGAATTACACTTAGTATTTTTTTACATATTTGTTTGGTAATACCGTAAAACATTAATTAAATTATTATAAGTAATGTTTTTCTTTGATTTTTTTGAATAATTGTGAAATTTAAAAATAAACATTTGATGATAAAAAAATTGTGTTAGGCTTTTTTTATTACTTTTTTCAGTTATAAAAAATAGAATGAGTTTATGTAAAATCTGGTTTTTTATGGAGCAACATTGTTTAAAAATTTGTAATTTGTGTTGTTTTTGCCTACAAAAATTAGCACTTGAAACTTCATTTTATTTAAAAATTTTATATATACAATATTGGTGTTTTAAAAAAGATTATAAAAATTCATGTTTTTTGTAAAATTAGTCAAATGAATTTTTGAAGATAACTGCGTAGTTAGAGTGTTAGACAACACAGTATATTACAGAAAATCATTTGACTGTCTTATCGATTTAAATTTTGGCTGAAATTTTGGTATAAGTAAATTAGACTTAATGAAAAAGATGTTAAAAAATTTTCATCAAAAAATTCCACCGAAAACCGCTCCAAATGATGATAGCCGGACAAAGTCTCCTGTAAAAGGGTTTATTTTCACTTTTTATGAATGTTCGAGTGCGTATTTGATAGTTATCCCAAAAAGTTATAGAGTTTTATAAATTATAATTAGGGATGATGTTAGCATTAATTAGTGACCCAATTACCTTCACTCCAAGTATCTCTAATTTGGATCTCAATTACCCCTCATCAAACCGCCCAAACTGCAAGAGATAACACTTTGTGCGTCCGATTAACGTGAGATTCAACTTAAAACTCAGCATAGCCTTCTTTAACTGCTCACTCCGTTGCCATTACCATTACTATAAAACTCAGGTTTTGAACTCTTTGATATTATTAATTGTATATTATTCCGTAGTATATTAGTGCTATATATATAAGTCTCGTGATTTAGAAATGTGATGTATAAATATAATAATACTATTGTATAATTTTTGTTTTATGTCTTTTTATGTAACATTCTTTTGAAGTTTTTCTCACAATTTCTACATCAAATTTGGTTTTTGTAACTTCACGAAGCATTACAGGGCTCAAAATATGTACTTAGTTATCAATACTCTTCCATCCTATTTTACCCGTTCTATTTTCCTTTTTTGTTATCTCAAAAGTCACATTTTTTGGGAAAGAAATATGTGTAATATATCATTTCACTTTATTATATTCAAATTTCAACCATATTTTTTTTTGTTTTCAACTATGAGTACTTTATTAATAATTGTGTCAAATCAAAGTATGACACATAAAATGAAACTGAGGTAATAATAGTAAAATTTGCAATGATAGAACTCACATATTCTTGATTTATTATTTATGTACTATATTAATAAAATATGTTACATTAGTCCCTCTAATATTTGGTTTATCAGCCAACATTTTCACAAAACACACAACTTTTGATTTAGCGCACTGAATTATGTAATAATTAAAATAAGTAAAATTGAAATTACTTATCAGACCGAATTGAGTGAAATTATTGTAGAGAACTATTTTAGGTATTCTCATATACTTTAATCTTTACTTTATTAATAAAATATATTTTAATTTTTCTTATAATTTAGCAAGTTCAACCGATTTAGCCATTTCGCTGGAACTTCATCAATTTCTACGGAATGAGTCAATTTAATCAATTTCAGTGTTATGCTCTAATTTAACTATAGAAGTAATTTAACTTATTCAGCTTCACATAATTTTAATGGCTAGTCATTTCAACCATTTTAAATATGTTTGTGTTTTGAGCAAATTTTAAAACTTATAGTAAACCCCCAACTTGTATAATATTCATATCATGATCCTTACATAAAAAGTCACACAACATAGACATAGTTTAAAGCATAAAATTTAAATAACTTTTTATGTGCAATGACCATTCTAAATTTTCATTTGTGCAATAAACAATACTAATTTTGCAGTGTTCGTGAACACACAACATTAACCATTATTATATAAAACTGAGTATTAAGATGTTTTTACTTGAACTATTTTCGATCTAAGACCAAACCAGATCAGACTAGACCAGATCAAACCAAAACCAGACCAGACTTGGATACTTATAAAATACACAAAGACCAAATATTTATCATATTAGACCAAACCAATTCAGACCAGATCAGATTAGATCAGATGCTTAGTAACGTTAAATGGAAATCATATTTTAAAATTTTACTATGGCACAAGTTTTATTTTATAGTCCGTATTTATAGTATGACTACTTAATAAAGAAAATGAAGTCAATGTAAGAAAACACTCATTAAATACGAGTAAAGATGTTTTTACTTAGATTTATTTCACTTTCAGACAAAACTATATCATATCAGATCATACCATCCAGTTTAGACCATACCACATAAGAGTAGACCATAAAATTTCAGTCTAAGTAGAACCTACTAAAAACACAACAAAGTTTCTAAAATGTGACTTTCTTGGATTTCTTTTTGAAATAGAAAGTTAGAAACCGTTCACTCTTAAAAGAAAGAATGAAAACTTTGTTCATGTCTTATTCTTATTTAAATAATTTCTCACCAAGTTAAAAGTAAATTTAAAGCATATGAGACCATCTATTGATCTATGATGATTGCATGTTGTAGAGCCCTATCCTATGACTACTAAGAAACACAGCTCAACACAAAAGGCAAGGAATAATCTAATTCAACCCCAATTGTTTTTTCTTCTACTACACCTCATGTGGACGTAGCTCAACTGGTAGCAAGGGAGTGACACAAGGGTTAGGTCCCGGATTTGAATCCTGATGGGTTACTATGCTAAAAATGCATGGGACCTCTGCAAGTATCGAGGATAGAACTTCACTCTCTATGTGTCATATTGGGATCATAGTCCAATTTACCTCCTCCCACCCGATGTAACGTCCGGTCAAAGTTGAGGGACCTCAGGTATGGGTGTCATGCTTTTTTTTCTTCGACTACTTCCGCTGGTTAGGTAAAAAAAAAAAGTAAACCAATGAAAAAACGAAAGTAAGCAACGCTGCAAACACGGAATATGAAGACGAAGAAAAATGAACCATTGGACCCCATAGAATGATAGAAACCCAAAGATCTGCGCTATAACTGTAAATGTTAAGAAGAGCATAATAAAGTCAGAAAAGTAAATTGAAGAAACAGAGTACTTTCCGAGGTTAATCGATCCCTTTCCCTTCATCATCTTCTTATACATATATTTCACTCCGTAGCCCAATTACGGCTCAAGCATTTCAGCAAGCACCTGGTGTGCGTCGGCGTCGAATCAGCGGAAGAAAATCGGCCGTCAGAGACGTCTCGCCTTCGTACAGAGTAGATTGCGGAAATGCTGGATTGGGGTCCGGTGGTTGCGGCGACGGCTCTGTTCGTTCTTTTGTCGCCGGGCGTTTTTTTCCAGGTGGGGGGTGATAAACGACGGCTTCGCTGTGGCTTGGGCCTTTTCGAGACGAGCGTCCAGTCCATAATAGCGCACACACTTATCTACTTCGTACTCATCTGCGTCGTCTTGCAGGGCTTTAAGTTCCACGTGCGCCTGGACATGTTTAGGAAATGGTCGGAATAGTAGTAAATCGATTCGAATTTCAAAATATATTGTTATGTTTTTATTATCGAAATAAAAAGTAATTACTGTTATGTTTTGATCGTCACATTTTCTAGTCGGTACTGCAGTCCCTATCTTCCGCCCTCCCTTTTTCCATTATTATTATGTACGATTATTCCATCTCTCAGCATTGATCTAGAAAATTCGCTAATTTGGGACATCGTTTATTTTACCTATGTTTGATCCATGTATACTTTTTAATTTTGGGGTGATTGTAATAAATAAACTTACATGTTAAGTACTTATGTATTAATTTAATTAAATATATCTTATGTATTTATGTGATTTAGTATTTATAAAAAAATCTGTCAAACAAAGTTTTAATACAAAATAAAAGACAACTTGGTTCAATCAAATTTAACCTTTCCATATGAGGGAGTCAAGGTTTAATTACTCTGTTATAGCGAAGTATAAATAAAACGACATTGTTGCAGTCAAATACAATGCAGCAATAATCATTTAATTGGATTATACGTTCTTAGTAGAGTTTAATCCCTGATATTTTTTAGAGAAGTAAAATTAATGGGAGATTCATTTCTAAAAAAGATGAGATAATATAGGATGGATGAAAAAGAAAGTATAGACATAAAGAGAAGAAGGGAGTATCAAAATGAATAGAATGTATATTTGACTCTTTTCTAAAATTTACTCACATAAAATTTATTCCCAAAAATATAACCATATAAAATTACTATGTGTTAACATCATGATCATTTAAGTGTAACGATTGTTGAATATGAAAATAACCAGTAAAGATTAATACTATAGTTGGTGCATTTAAAAGGTCATATTTTTATCCATATCTTTACTTAAGTAATAAATACTCGTTATATCATTATTTCATACTTATTTTTGGGAAAAGGGGCAAATAAACTTTCAGCTAATCAAAAAAGTGCAAATCACCCCTTTTATAGGAGGTTCTGTACGGCTGTCGCCATTTGGGATAGTTACCGGTGGAATTTTTTGATTAATTATTTTGAGCAACTTCTTCATTAAGTCTAGTTTACCAATACCAAATTTCAGTTAAAAATGAAATCGGGAAGGTAATCAAATAAATGAAGAAGATGCTAAAAAAAATCATCAAAAAATTTCATCGGGAACTCCCTAAATGACGGCGGCTGGACAGAGTCTCCTATAAAAGAGGTGACTTTAATCGCTTCGAGTGCTCTTCCTCACATTTTATTCAATTTGTCTAAAATAAAATTTAAATAAAGGGAAAATTTTAGAATGCACCTTATTTTTTGAAGGATATTTGACTTTAGGGAAAATTACACTTTTCGTGTCTGAAATAGTCACCATGTTGAAATGTCAAACTCGTATTTTGAAGATTGCAAATGTCACCCATCAATTGTCCAAACTGTTGTAAATGTGCTCCTTTTACTGCTTTGAGGGATGAAATGTACTCCTCGCCGACATTGTACATTTCACCCCTCAAATGACCACATTTACAACAATTTGGACAACT